TTGGCCATTACTTCTGAACTTTGAAGCAGCCTCAAGTGTTTATTTGGAAATGTATCATTTGACAAGTAACAGTTTCCCTCATTATTCTTTTTCATATGGAAATAGATAAGCAGGACAAAAAAAAAACTTTATAAAAAAAAAAAGTTATTGCGTTTTGCAATAATCCTTGCTTATTAAGCACGCACAGAAGAGTTCATGCTTTTGCTTGAAAGACCGCAAGAGCAAACTACACATTGCATGAAATAAAAACAAAAACGGGTCACCTCACTCCAACTCTGTGAACTTTTCCTATTATCAAATGTCTATGTAATCAAAAGTGGAGCTCACACTCTGGCACTTATTTCCATTTATATCAAGTGAAGGTTCCATTAAAAACCTACACTGCATGAAAGACATTTGTGTAATAGTATTAGCGTAGCAAATGCTAACATCACAGCAGCGTCTATCATCTTTGTACAAGGGAAATGGGGGGAGGTTTACCTGCCATTTCAAACAGATTAGAGACCAACCCTCCCTCCTACAGTCAAGGTTTGGTATCCAATGGCTGCATGAGTGGAAGGCTGTGCCTCCAACAAAATTCAATTATCCCTTTCAGGCCCTGCACTCTCCAGACAGCCACTCCAGAAGGTTGGAGGACATTCTTGAAGCATATGAGTTGTACTGTATGCTCTGTGGGATGAAATCCATTGGTACAGTGGTACCTCTGGTTATGAACTTAATTCATTCCGGAGGTCCGTCCTTAACCTGAAACCGTTCTTAATGGGAGGTAACATTTTAGCTAATGGGGCCTCCCACTGCCGCCACGCCACCAGCGTGTGATTTCTGTTCTCATCCTGAGGTAAAGTTCTTAACCCGAGGTACTACTTTCCGGGTTAGCAGAGTCTGTAACCCAAAGTGTTTGTAACCTGAGCTGTTTGTAACCCGAGGTAGTCAAATACAGCATTCCTTGTTTCCCTAGAAGGGGCACAGGCAGAGGAACATCCAGTCAGTGTAACTTCCTGTTCTACTGGTCTGAAGCATCCTCCACCTGCATGTGTTCTGGAAGATGGGCATGGCTCTGGCTGACTCCATAAAAGAGCCGAGCCATGCAGCCATTTTCTCAGTCTTGATTCTTGCAGTTTTGTCTAGTTTGTCTTGATCTCTTGCTTCTCTTGTTCTCTTGCTTGCTGTTTTTTTGCTGCCATGCTGCTCTCCTGCAGCCATTTTGTTCTATTGGTGTCATTTTGCTGTCAGCCAGCAGCACATGAGTTCAGTCTCAATATAAGAGATGAACTCAGTTTCTTATATAACTATTAAGTAAAGCCTGCCTTTCAGGGATCAAATCGTGAACTGAAATGTGAGTAAACTTTTTGTTGCTTTACTCAGCAAGATTCTCGTGTCTTTATTCTTTTAAGAGGGATCAAATGGGACACCAGGAAATAATCTTAACTAAGAGATTCTGCAAACTAGCTTCCAGCTATATTGAGGGGAATCTGCTCTGCTACATCACATACTAGCGTGAGTGAAGGAAGGACAAGATTTATTCAATATATCCCTTCCTACTATCCTTAACATTCCCACATCCTCACCCTCTACTGCAGCTTTCTTCAGCCCAAACTGACCGGAAGTCTCCCTACCCCCGCCCCATTCTCTAAAGAGGTTTTTCAAAGAGTGCAGTAGCTGTGGAGGGGGAAGAGAAGATAAATGTCTGCTGTGTGAGCCATCTTCTACTCACACAACTGTTAAATAATACTTATCTGTTTCGAAGCATAAACCCAACAAAAACAGGTGCCTGCACACTCAAACAAAATAACCAGGTTCTTCAGTGGCGCCATTAACTGCAGTTATTAACTATTGTTATCAAAAACGCTATTCTTTGCACCGAGTGATGGATCTGAGGATGAAATGCATTCACTCTGAAGTCACTCTGCTGGAAAACCTCAAGGCTAACAATGTAAGAGGTTGTTGACATTTCCAACTGATCTCTTTAAAATGTGATGGCTTTCTAGCGGCCATTAAAACTTACTGAATTGCTGGTTATTTCCCATAACGTATATTGAAATTTGTATTTACAATAATTGCATCGCTACAGCCTATTTAAATAATAATAATTATGGTATTTGAGCATGAAAATGCCTCTACAGAGGGACGGTATATACAAGAATATAGAGGCTTAAGCCGTTTTTGAAAAGTGAGTCTTGAATAGAGCGAGCCCTGGCTAGAATTAACTGTTTTAAGAGCACAGATGTTAACTATGATTAAGGCTGAAAGGGGAATGTTTCCAAAGAGGAGAGGAAGTATGTGAGAGCTCCCATCTTCCCCCAGGTAATGCTACACTACATTATGGATATTTGCAGCAGTGCTAGGGGATACACATCATTATGTCTGCACCAACCACTAATGGAAAGGATATCATCTATTTCAGTGGGCTCGACTACAGAATTGGGAATCGTCATTCAACTGTCATGTCCCAGAATACCTCTTCCAGAAGCATAATGAAGTTTCAGTGCAGCAGTCTCTTTTCCTGAGTAGCTAAAAGTTCCATGTTCTCTTAGAGTCCATAAAGAATATAAACAGAATAGTTTTAATGTTATCAGACAGTTGTATTTGCACCTGCCTTGGGAGTATCTGCAGAACCTAATTCTGCTAAACTTCTATAAGGAAAAAAATACCATGAACAGCAACTTGATATACCTCATAGTTTTCTGTGTCGCACCCTTATGAAAGAAACTTCATATTTTAAAACGGATGATAAAGGCCATTTCACAATATTGCCTAGTTTTATATGCAAGTCCATGGACCTCTTCTACTGGCTGCAATAAAATGCATTAGGAATATTAGATCTGACTGACTTAATTTTCTTGAGATATTTATTTAATATTTCATAACCCTGTCTCAATGTCTGGGAGCCCCTTAAACTCAATGTATTCTATCATAAACCAAGATTAAGAAGGCAATTTATGTGACTTATATATAACCAGAAAAGGAGGAGCAGAACGAACTATTACTTTCAATTCTGCTGTTAAACGAAAGTTACAACCAGGCTATTAATGCACAAAATAATTAATCCCCCCCCTTTTTTTTTGTAAAGCTCTAAACTTAAAAACAACTTTTGGACAGTAGTTTAACCTGCGGTGACCAGTAATAAAATGTGGATATAAGAGTCATAGAAAATCCAATCAAACCCAGCTTTGGAACAATAAAATATTTTATTTAATTACTGCATGCTATGTCTGAATCTCTACAGTGTAAATGTCCTGGTCACAGAATTAAATCTGGTAAACTATGAGTAATAACCTACTGCTACAAGCAGGAGTAAGATTTAAATATACACACATGAAAACACACTGCAATTATATGTATACAGTTGAATAGTTATAAAACCTTCCTCTTCAACAGATTCTACTTGTCTTTGCTGGTATCTGTAAGCATTTTGTTTTCCTGAAAGGAAACTCCATTTGTCCTAATGCAGGATTAAGGAGCAGATAGTTTATACACAAAAGGAAAGTGCTTTGATTGGAGGAAAGTCCTTCTTAAAGCCTTCTTGCAGCTACAAGTGAAATTCCATTGTCAGGGAAAATCATTAACGGGCCCCCGTGTCAAGGCACTACCATTTCTTTTTTACTTCTGGATCTGCTAGATTACAACTGCATCTTTAGTTGCTAGGCAACAACCAACTCCGTATACACCATTATCAACACCCACGAGAAAGAAACTGCCATCTGCTTCTCATTTGGGAATTCCATTGACTGAAGCAATATTGCAGTTACTGCAACCCCACCCCCACAAATCATCCTTGGTCTCCCTCAGCCCTGCTTGTTAGTGAAGCAGGTACTGATGTCAGAAAATGTGGTATATTATGTTTCGGGTAGTGACCGAATAAGAATAAGGCATGTTTGAAGGGGGAGGGGGGAGAGACGCCACCACAGGCAATTGTGATATGTTAAAAACCACACTACCAAAAAAGAAATAGTGTTTCCGAACACGTAATAATCTCCCAGTTCTAGCAGACGCCTTATCCAGTTGTGCTACGTGGTTATGTTTATCTTTATGTTAACAAACAATACTGGTGCTGCACTAAGAACAGCAACGGTTGGAGTAAAATCTTACTTTTAGGTGGTTGGCAGAAATTAAGGCTGGAACCAGCTATTACAGCAGATGGGGAAACAGAAGCCCTTCATCACCTCCATAACATCTAATAATGGCTTAATGGGTACCATCACACGTTGCGTGTTTTTGTTCTGCCTCAGTTCCACTTCACAGGCTACTGCTTGCTTGAATTGTCCAATTATGTCCCACCATGCATTGTTGCCATTAGAAGTTACTAACAGCAAAGAGGAATGAGACAAGGAGCGATTTCTTTCAGCAGAAGCCCTATGTCCGCCATATCATCTAGCCTTGGCTTCAAAGCTCTAATACAGGTCATCAGATATTGTCCACGAAAGCAAATTTCAGCTGCTTTTCAAACAGAATGATCCACTATTTATTTGACTAGAAAGTTGCTAAATGCAGAAGGCTACCTAATAGCAAGTCAGACAATGGTACATTGACCTTGTGTTGTCTACACTGACTGGCAACTGTTCTCCAGAGTTTGAAGCAGGGGTCTTCCCCAGCCCTATCCGGAGATGATGGGACCTTCTGCGTGCAAAGCTCGGACACCAATTTATGGTCCTTTTCCACTAATGGAGAGCAATGGGGTGGATTCAGCTAACCCAGCGCCCTAGCAAAAGGGAGCACAAGGATTCCCACTCGTGCAATGAGGCTCTCTCCCCTTGTCCTCCCCCTGTGCCTCCCCCAAATCAGCTCTGAAGGGTTGGGAGAATCCTCAGAACAGTGTGAGAGGGGAGGAGAGGGAGGATCCTTCCATCTGGTTCTCAGTATTTCTACCTTCTTTTAAAATGTTCTCTTATACAGTGATCAGCACTGGCTTGAATAACTTTATCATCTTTCCTTTGTTTATCAATGAAAGGCAGGGGGGGATCAATTTCTTCAAAAAGCAACATGTTTATATAACTCCTTACCTGTCTCAACAACTTCTCAATGGCTGACATTACCATGGGGCCTCTCCAGACAATTGGTGCAGTCTCTTCTACCAAGAAACCTATGGACATACTACAAGAGAAATGCAAACATATTTTCTTCAACTTTCAGACATGTTACAAGGAGCAAAATATAGAAAGAAAATATGTAAAATGGATTTGAACCTACAGATTGCTTACCATGCAATTCCATAGTTCACAAGAGGCCTCATTAAGTTTTCTAGAATGGAAAATGTGTTTTAAAAATACATTTTTAGAAATTATTATTGTAAGTTCTGTTCATTATGACTGTGAAAATGTGTAGAAACTAGAGGCATTTATAAGAGCAATATGCACCCTCTCAAAGTTTTATGCCTTCACTGCAAAGCAGAGGGCCAGTCGAGACATTAACATATAACCAAGGTTAGCACGAGTCACAGTTTGTTGCTTTAACCTAGTAAGATCTCACATATACAGTATAACCATGGTAATTTCTGGCTTCTGTAACTGTGATACGTTGTTGTTATTGGACTGTTTTCCAAGATATTACATCTTTCTCCCTAACTGCCTTCACCCTAAAGGGAAAATAAGCTGTATCAATTCTACATTAGGCTTGATACCTAGAGATCTGCTAAGAACCTTCTTAACATGGATGAAGACGAGCCCAATAAACCAGACACTAAAGCTAGAATATTCTATCCAGAGAGAGGACCTGCTACCAGTCAAACTAAAAAGGTAGCTAAAGCTTACTTAAGGAGAGTCCCAAGAAAATGCTGCATCAGCAAGTCAACAAAAATGTGGTTTCTGACATTATTATATTGCAACTCTACTCCATAGATTTCTTTCTGAAGTTTGGTACCACTTAAGATTCTTAACAAGAGTTTATTTGATGAAAAACAGAATATGACATGTCACTGAGAAGCAAAACATCTTGCATTCATTCAGACACTACACTTTCCCTCAAGAAACCTTGCACTTGCATATTATTATTTTTTGCAATATTCAGCAGTTAATAAAATAAAATAAAATTCGTTGTTACCAGCCTGTGCTAGGGTGCCCAGGCTGCACAAAAATGCTTATCAGGAGGAACTGGAACAAAAGCAATCAGATGGATGAATTGAGGCTGCAGGCAGCAAAGAACAGCCTTGTAAAAGATTGCTGCGTTTTATTTGTCATTGAGACATGGCTTCAACCGTCCATACCAGACACAGCTATTCAGTTGGAAGGCTGTGCAGTACATCGTCATGACCGAGGCATGGACTTCGGAAAAACCAAAGGAGGGGGGCTGTGTGTATATGTGAACAAATGCTGGTCCAATAATTCGAAGACTGTGGGCAGTCACTGTTCACCGGATTTGGAATATGTGGCTGTTAAATGTAGACCAGCCTATCTCCCTAGGGAGTTCACAGCTGTTATGTTAACTGGTGTGTACGTGCCACCAGATGCCAATGCCAACTTGGCTTTGGGATGTCTGCAGGACCTTATCAGCAGCCAGCAAGACAAGTATCCTGAAGCTGTGCACATCATTGCGGGAGACTTCAACCATGTTGAACTTAAAACAGTGCTCCCAACGCTCTATCAGCATGTGAAATGTCCCACAAGAGGGGACAAGACACTGGATAAAGTTTATTCGAATGTAAATCACGGCTATAGGGCTTTACAGCTGCCACACTTGGGCCAGTCCGACCATATGTCTCTGTTCCTGGTACCAGCATATATCCCACTCAGGAAACGGGCTCCCACAATATTAAAATCTGTTAAAATCTGGCCTGAAGGTGCTATTCACCAGCTGCAGGACTGTTTTGAGAGAACCAATTGGGATATTTTCGATAGTTCAGACCTGGAGGAGCACACGGCGGCAGTTCTGTGCTATATCAATCACTGCACAGACACTGTCACAGTAAATAAATCCATCCGGTTTTACCCCAATCAGAAACCCTGGATGAATAGAGAGGTCCAGTGCCTGTTGCGGGAAAGGAACAGGGCTTTCAGGTCAGGCGAGGTGCAGCTTTACAGTGTAGCAAGAGCAAACTTGAGGAGGGGTATTCGACGGGCAAAATTGGATTATAGGCTGAGGATTGAGGATAATTTAAGGAGCAACAACACAAGACAGATGTGGCAGGGGATTCAGCATATTACCAACTACAAACCTAACCTTGGTGCTATCGACGGTGACCCTTTGCTGGCGGAGGAGCTTAACCTCTTCTTTGCTCGCTTCGAGAAGGAGCCACCTGAGACGCCGGTATTACAGCCACCAGCCCATAGGGGCCCCTCATTCACGGTAGAGGAACATGAGGTGAGACAGGTATTGAGGATGGCGAATCCGAGGAAGGCGGCTGGACCTGATGGCATCACTGGAAAGGTGTTGAAGGGCTGTGCGGATCAGCTGGCGAGGGTCTTTACTAAGATCTTCAATAAGTCCTTACACCAGTCTATTGTCCCACCCTGCCTGAAGTCGTCAACTATTGTCCCTCTGCCTAAAAAATCCACAATCAGTAGTTTGAATGACTACAGACCAGTTGCACTGACTCCAATCATCATGAAGTGTTTTGAGAAACTGGTGCGCCGTCACATTATTTCCTGTCTTCCATCAACTTTTGACAACTACCAGTTTGCATACAGAGCAAATAGATCCACAGAAGACGCCATCAATACCACTCTCCATGCTGCTCTGTCCCATCTGGAGCAGCCGGGGAGTTATGTGAGGCTGCTGTTTGTGGATTTTAGCTCTGCTTTTAACACTATCCTCCCCCATAGACTGGTGTCCAAGCTAGAGGCGATTGGACTCTCCAACTCCACCTGTCTCTGGGTTTTGGATTTTTTGTCAGAACGTTCTCAGAGGGTTAGAGTAGGGTCACATATGTCCACAGCCCTTAGCCTTAACACCGGCTCACCACAGGGTTGTGTGTTGAGTCCCCTGCTCTATGCTCTCTATACGTATGACTGTACAGCCATCTATTCCAGCAACAAAATCATCAAGTTTGCTGATGACACTACGGTGGTAGGGCTCATTTCAGGAGGGGATGAGTCCGCCTATCGGGACGAGGTGGAGCGGCTCTGTGTTTGGTGTGGAGAGAACAATCTGGCTCTTAATACGGCTAAGACCAAGGAATTGGTGGTGGATTACAGGGAAAAAAAGGCGGACATTCAGCCCTTGTATATCAACGGGGAACGGGTGGAGAGGGTGGCGGAATTCAGGTTTTTGGGAGTAACTATCGATCAGGGCATGACTTGGAGCGCACATACCACTGCTCTGGTGAAGAAGGCCCAGCAGAGAATTTATTTCCTCAGACTTTTAAAGAAGAACAATCTGAGTGAGAGACTGCTGGTGTCCTTCTACCGAGGCTCCATAGAGAGCATTCTTACATACTGTATTTGTGCTTGGTTCTCCAGTTGTACAGCTAGGGAGAGGAAGGTGCTCCAGAAGGTCATAACCACAGCCCAAAGGATTATTGGTCATCCTCTCCCATCTTTGGAAGAACTGTACGGTTCCCGTTGTCTTAGGAAAGCAAATAACATCCTGCAGGATTCATCTCACCCGGGACACAGTCTGTTTGCACTACTGCCTTCTGGCAGGAGATATAGAAACATCAAGTCAAAGACAAATAGACTGAAAAACAGTTTCTATCCAAGAGCTGTGGCCTTTTTGAATGCTGTAACTCGATAGTGTGACCTGGGAGTTTGATGGGTGTTGGTGTGGGTGTGGCTGGAATGTGGTTTGTTTGGTTGTTGTTGTTGTTTTGCTTTTGTTGTTTTAAGGGATGGCATCCAATTTCGTTGCACTTTGTGCAATGTTGCACTTGTGTAATGACAATAAAGAATCTATTCTATTCTATTCTATTCTATTCTATATGGACAACCTTCTATTTTATTTCTTTAATTAACGGAACAGGAAGAACTCAGATTGCAATTTTTCTTGACAATCCTCTCTATGGCCTCCTAATATTGCAGTTAATCCTTATGCATGCTTCACCACTCAGAATAGCCCCACGGATGCTCTTAAAACATCTCTCTCTATATGCTTGGTTATGCTGAAAGCCGAAAACCATAGGAGAGTATGGCTGCACTGTTATAGATGGATTAAACACACCAACATCAATGGGTCTTTAGCATAAGCAAATACATACTTGTTTGCATTTTTGACTTAAAACCTGTAAGTACGTAAGCCAAGTTCACCCGCCATGTAAGCTGCAGTGAATGGTTTACCATTAATGTGTCAATGGGGGCTGCTTTGCTTCTTCCAGCACACGGAAGAAGCAAAAACATGATTCCTGACTTAGAATTACTGTACAGTGGTATATCGGGTTAAGTACTTAATTCGTTCTGGAGATCCGTTCTTAACCTGAAACTGTTCTTATGGGGCCTCCTGCTGCCGCCACGCCGCCGGAGCATAATTTCTGCTCTCATCCTGAAGCAAAGTTCTTAACCTGAAGCTGGGTTAAGAAGTTTCTGGGTTAGCGGAGTCTGTAACCTGAAGTGTATGTAACCTGAAGCGTATGTAACCTGAGGTACCACTGTATATCTGAACTTCATACTCCATTTCAGTAGATCATCATGGTTTGTTTGGCATGACAATTCCATATCATGTTTTCGCAGGTTTCATATGCTTGGGGGAGGGGTACAGAATCTGGAAACCAAACAGGATATGTACAGGAGGAGGAAACTGTACAGAAGGAGGAAACTGTGACATACAGCTAGCACTTTATTTCACGTTACTTTCATAGTGGTTCCCACCACTGCAGAGACAAGCCACTTTTCAGATTAAAAAAAAAGGCTTGCCTTTTCAGCAGTGGGAACTGCAACACCAAACACAACTAAAAGAGATTTGGCATTCTGGATTGCAGCCTTAGAATTTAAAACAAACCACAGACGTAAAATGTTGCAACAAGTGTAGGACTTAAAAGGTGCATTTTAAAGTGGCTGGTGCCGTTAACAATAGTTCATGATTACAACTATTAATTTCCCTTCTCCAAAATTATATTTCAGTGCATAGTTATTGAGCAGCTACTCCTCCACATCTACTTAAAAATAAGACTGCAGCATGAGCTTACTCAGAAGCTTGGGAATCCGTTGCATCATGAACGCCACCTTTTTGTAGAGCTGAAATCTTTCACCACTCAAAATCATCATTGTTATCCACCTCCTCACTTTTTCACGATGTCTCATCAGGAAGAGCACAAAAGACTACCATGACAAATGGTATCACTTGCCACAATGCTATTCAGGGGGAGTATTGCAGCATAAACTTTGAACTCTTATTACCTGGCAGCTGCACAGACTATACGGGATGTGAATTCAGGAGATCTGAAGGCCAGCCCTTTTTTTTTGAACACACATCCGTGAACGATGTGATTAATCAAATTTCTACCGAAAGGAAGAAGGTTCTCTGTCCATCACTAGCCCTTTCCCAAACAATTAGGATTTCCATTTATGGGACCTTGTGCATATTTAATAGCAGCAAATAAATGGTCCAACTATCTATCCCTGTTTACTTGAAACAGTCCCTATTTTCTAGGGACCTGTCCTGAGTCAGCAGCAAAGAAATACCAAAACTGCCACTTTAGGAGTATGGAGTAGAATCTTAAAATTGGAAGGGACCCCCAAGGGTCATCTAGTCCAACCCCTGCAATGCAGGAATCTCAGCTAAAGCATCCATGACAGATGGCCATCCAATCTCTGCTTAAAGTGTGCCTAAAGCAAAAAAAAAAGTTAGTATAATCAACCAGCTTTCTTGCTTATTTTTCTCCCCCTTGCCTTATAATCTAATGATAGCAAAAGCATGAAAACAGTTGCTCTAACTATTCTTTCACATTTCTGATTTAATTAAGATTTTTCTTCTCCTCAATGACATAAGGCCCAATTCTAGATGTGCATCACCAGTAATACACCTAGAAGGAAGTGTTCCACATTGCCTCCATCCCAGTAAAATGCATATATCATACACACCTCCCCATACTTCTGGAAATATTAGTGCTTTAGCCTAGCTGTGTTGCCAGGGCCAGTTATTAAAAGACTGAGAAGAACACACAAAATAACACTTGTTACCTATTTTTCATTGTTAGGAACAATGTGTACAGTACAGAATGCTCAGCAACAAGGTCTATTATAAAGCTCTGAGTGCCTTTAATATCCCACATTGCTGCTAAAATTTACTCATCTATACAACAAATACGTTAAAGGCACAGACATTTCTGTTTGTTGCAGCAAAAACAGTAAAGAATCTTGTGACGTCTTGAAGGCTAAGAAATGTACTATGGCATCAGCTTTCAGGAACTACATGCATCAAATGACGTAGACTCTAGTCCATGAAACCTTACACCATAATAAATTTGTTAGCCTTTAAGGTGCAACAAGGCTGCAGTTCTCTAGGTATGCTTTATGTTTCAACTCAGAAATCTTCCCACCTCACAAAAGACAACCTAGCAACCTAGGGAGGAACATAACTGAACTTCTAAACTGTAATACACATTTTTATAAAAAAATTAAACAGGATCGGTCTTAAAGTGGTTGTTTTAAAATTGTTTACTCTGTTAAGCATGCCAAAACTTACCTAAGGAAAATGTCAGAAATTGAAAAGGGCAACACTTAAATTTCTACTTAGCTTGCTATAGCCACTGCAAGTGCTTTAGAATAGAACACTGAATTAAGAACTAAATCATTTCCCTACCACCGAGATCAGTTATTTATCATCTGGCACCTCAGTCCTATATTGCTGGCAATCATCCATCTTTGTAAGATAATGAGGCTCCCTCCAGTGAAAGTAAGAGAAAAGAGCCCTCTTTGTGGCCTGATGCCTTGGAGGCGATATGAAGAATCAAACTTCCCTAGCATCTCTTGATCTCACAGGCTACATCCAAAGAAAAGACAACCATCAACACATGGGGTGACATGAATGTGATACGAGTGTGTACAGATTGTCCATTTTCTGCCTCACAGAACCCCAAATTATTATTTCTTCGGCATGTAAAGCCACAATTTCCAGCTTCTGTGTCACAAAGTTCCTTCTGTCCTATTATGCAACATGTTACATGCATTGCAGATTATGTTTTTACACTAAAGTAAAATACAGCTACCAACCATATCTGAATTACAATCATGGTGCTTCCAAATGAGTGTTTTAAAATCAGACAATACGGCTTTTTCACTTCAGAAAGCAATTCAGTACGTACTGGTCCAAGCTGGGGACAGCTCCATTGACAGTATTTACTACTTTCTGTCTGCAAATTAAACAAACTGCCGCTGTTTAGTCCAGCTACTTTTCTTGCAACTCCAAAACAAAATACTTAATCTCTCCTGAAGATTCTTCGAAAAGTTTTTTTAAAAGAAATTGGAATAGTTGAACTAGGACGGTGCCGCTACTAGAAATCAAACAGGGGTAGTCTCGGAGGAAATCTCTCTTTCATTGCTAGGTACAAAATATGAAAGTTGGACTGTCTATTCCTCCCTAGGGTCCTTCCGGCTCAACTGCTTATTTCTGCTAGTTTCATACTACCACAATATTGAGTACATTTTAGCAGTATCGCCCAAGGAATACGTAGGCTCCCTCCCAACCACCGCTCCCTGTGTCACCTGCAAGCAAAAGTACATCGTATGGACCCAAAAACTATCTGTCAGTAGACACTCCACTCACCCCTTTCTGAAGGGGAAGGAATCATCTGGCAGCTAAGTAAGCCTGGCATTTAGGGCACAACAAAACATTTAATAATCCATTAATGTAAATTTCTGGACTAAGGGGGGCTCCCTTGGGGAGGAAGAGAGCTCTAAACTAAACTACTGAGGGCCCTAATCTTCCAAGATTTTGTGTTCTACACAGATAAAACCAGCCATAACACACACATTCAATGTTAACAAGTAAGGAGATTCAGAAGGTGTGGATTAGCTCCAAAAACCAATTACTTGGCGTTCTTCCTACTCCTATTCCTATGCCACGACATTCCCAGGACTTTGGATAACAAATCTTCACGTGAAGATGAAACAATATATGTCACTAATGTAAGAATCTCTTATTCCACAAAGGTTTGAGACATTATTGTAACACTAAGTACAAGCACATATAATTTTTCTCAGCCATTAAACACTTGTAATGGTCTCTATTATGGTGCCCTGACCACAGGATCTTCCACATCAATACGTATGGTTAGGAAATCAGGTAGGATGTGACACAGATCATTTCACAATTAGTCTTTACAGATCTGGTTTGCATTCCAAGGCTCAACTATTGCGTTACCTGCTTCCAAAAGCAGTGCCTAACTCTGGCCACATGCATGCTCTACTGTCAAGCTAATGAATATTTGTATTTGTTTCAGTTATAGGATTTTTATTCTGACAATTATGCCACAATTCATTACTCCAAGTTGCCGGGGGAGGGGGGAGGCGGCAGCACTGCAACTGTACACTGGAAAAGCAGCACAAGCCTCTCTTCATTTCCACACAAATAAGCCCTATTTGGGTGCTCTAGTCACATGACTGTTATCACACAGAAAAGCAGGGCCCTTTGAGGCCCCCACCCTCACAAGTTTGGGAGGCAACGCCTGTGAAGTGGATGGAATCAGTTGTACGCCCATAGGCTCCTCCCATAACTGAGAGCCCCTCACAATCTGAGTTTCAGTTAAGGGGGCAGGAATGCATGTATGCAGGTAGTTCCCTTTTAAAGACACTGACCAACAATGCAGGGGCCCAGATGGTGCGATCTTTCCCACCACCACCCCGCCAAAAGATAACATGAACTGGACCTCTGTATGATCGGGCAATCAAGTGGCAGGCTGGGCTCGCACTGGAAGCTGCACGGCGTTCACATTTCCCCATTGCCACACTATTGTAGCACTACCCTAGAATGCATGGTAAGGAGCTACACCAGAACTATAGCATTTCCGTTTTTTTAGTGCAGACAACTTTACTCCATCCTAGTTGTGTCGCCCACACTGAGGAAACTGCATCCCTATTACATACTTCCATTTGTTTTAAAGATTTACGTATCAACCTTCAGCAAAGCTAAATTCCAGGACAGTTTACAAACACAGTTAAAATATGGTGCTGTTTTTTTTTTTTTAAAGAAACCATGGTGCTTTCAAATACAGTGGTAGCTCGGTTTATGAACGCAATCTGTTCCAGAAGACCGTTTGAGTTCTGAAACGTTCGAAAACTGAAAACTCAATAGTCTACAGCTAGGCCTCAGGATCTTGCACTCAACGGAAGCTGCATGGCATGTTCGACTTTCGAGGTGTGTTTGAAAACCGAAGCATTTATTTCTGGGTTTGCGGCATTCAAAAACCGAAATGTTCATCAATGGAGATGTTCAAAAACCTAGGTACCGCTATAAATGCATTAAAAGAAGTCTGGAAGGATTAAGACTCACATTTGTTTGGCACCAAAAAGTTAACATGGATGCCTGTTGAGCCTCTCAGGAAGAGAACTCCAGATGTTATCACTGAGAATGGCTGCTATTTAGTTGCAACACGTCCTACCTTGGGTGATGGGGACACCTGAAGGCAAGGGTCCAAAGATTATCTCAACTCATGAGCAAGTTGATATGGGAACACATCCCCAAGTCCTAAGTCATATAGGGATTTAAGAAGTAAGCAGCATCACTTTCAATTGTGCTCAGAAGTAGACTAGAAGTCTGTGAATCTCTGTCAGTGCTGCTATGTATGTTCTCATTAACCAGCCCAAGGCAACACCCTAAAAACTGGATTTCGAACTACAGTTTTCAAACAGTGGTCAAAGGCGGCTCCTTGTGCAATGCACGTCTATTAATGTTACCATGGCATTGTTATCTATGGTCATTTGGCAAGATAGGAAGGAGCATCTTTCTCTACTCTCACAACCACAAATAATCACTGCCTCTCAAGATTTCCTCGTCACAGAGTAAGATCCATCCAAACTTACTTGGTGTCACTTCTGGACTTCCTTTCAAATTCATCATCTTTGGGATGGAAGGCCCATACACATCTGCATCAAGCAAACCAACTGCTTTTGTCTGTGGAAGGAAAACACACAGCCACATCATTCTTAATGGAAAAAGTTATGTGGTGTAGTGGTTAAGAGTGGTGGACTCGTAATCTGGTGAACCGGGTTCGCTTCCCTGCTCCTCCACATGCAGCTGCTGGGTGACCTTGGGCTAGTCACACTTCTCTGAAGTCTCTCAGCCTCACTCGCCTCACAGAGTGTTTATTGTGAGGGAGGAAGGGAAAGGAGATTGTTGGCCACTTTGAGACTCCTTCGGGTAGTGATAAAGCGGCATATCAAATCCAAACTCTTCTTCTTGTAAGCGAACTTTAATTTCAGCTCTAATTTAACTTTTGTAACTTATTAACTAGTGGTGCTTTAAATCTAGAAAGAACTGCACTCAATTACCCTACTCAGCAAGGGAGATACATGCATGGCCAGTAGATGTGCTTAAATGGAAGTATAGGAAGTGGAAGCCAATTTCCACCCGGATCCAATGGTTACCAGGTGTAACTAAAGCTGGATTAGTGTCACTGATACAAGATTATGTTGAGACTTAAGTTTAAGAGTAAAATAAAAACTAAGAGGGGTCTCTCGGCATAAATGGAAGATATGAATAAAAAGATTCAGAGAAGGACGGATTATTACTTCTTTCGCAGGGTAGCTGCCATATTAGTCTGCTGGAGAAGGGCCATGGCTCAGTGGTAGAGCATATGCCTTGCAAGCAGAAAGACACAGATTCAATCCCTGATATCTCCAGGTAAGGTTGGGAGAGACCTCTGTCTGTAACCCTGGAGAGCTGCTGTGAAGCACTGTAGACAATACTAAGCCAGGTAGACCAAAAGAGCTGATGCAGTATGTTTATTCATTTATTAGATTCCTATACGCCCTTCATCCAAGGATCACAGGGCAGTTTACAATATACAAACCAAAAATATATAACACAGTAACAAACAACAACAACAACAACAACAACAACAACAACAGCGGCAACACCCCACACACAGTTTAAAAGGCCATAGGTAAAGGTAAAGGGACCCCTGACCATTAGGTCCAGTTGCGGACGACTCTGGGGTTGTGGCGCTCATCTCGTTTATTGGCCGAGGGAGCCGGCGTACAGCTTCCGGGTCATGTGGCCAGCATGACTAAGCCGCTTCTGGCGAACCAGAGCAGCACACGGAAACGCTGTTTACCTTCCCACCGGATCGGTACCTATCTATCTACCTACACTTTGACGTGCTTTCGAACTGCTAGGCTGGCAGGAGCAGGGACTGAGAAACGGGAGCTCACCCTGTCGTGGGGATTCGAACTGCCAACCATGATAATAGAAATAGAGGAGGAGGAGGAGGAGGAAAGTTGGTCTTATGTCATTTGTCACAGATGACATACTAGCATGGCAAGAAAAACTTTACTGGTGTGGGAGAGCCATTCCCAATCATAACTATGCCCTATTCAACAGTATGAAAATGTGCTATTGAATTCAAACCCATCAGCTTCCTGATGCTACAATATAGTAGCCACATTTCAACTAACCCTTTTAGGTGACATACGGTGACTATACTTCAAACTCATCTTTATCAAGATACTTTGTAGAGCCTTCTTCATCTGTAGTATCGAGGGTGCCAAACACAGAGGGTCTTTTCAGGGGTGGCCCCTGGTTGTGAACATTATCCCTAGAGAGATCCACTTGGTGCTTATAGTGACATTTTTCAGTAGCAGGTGAAAACTTCTCCGTTTACCCCCAAGCCTTTTAAATATCTTTTTACAAATTTAATATCAAAATTACTAATTGTTTAGTCTCTACTTTGGCAGCATTTGAGCATTTTATTTTAACTTCCATGGAATTACTGTAGTGCTTTCAATAGTGGTGTGTGTGTGTGTGTGTGTGTGTGTGAGAGAGAGAGAGAGAGAGAGAGAGAGAGAGAGAGAGAGAGAGATTTTATACGCCGATTTTGTTTTATCTGATCCAGTATTTTATTGTATTGTATTGATTTTTGCTGTGTGTTGCCTAAAGGGACTAGAATAATAGGCAGCTGATAAATACAAACAACACATAAGAAAACAGATATTGCTTTCATGCTGAAATGTAGCCAGTTCTGTATCCAGGCTACAAAAGAATTTGCAGACCAGAATAGACAAGGCATTATCTTCTCTGTAGTGTTTGGCACAGTTTACTAGCTTTAGGTTTGTCTTAGCAAGTTATTTCCTTACCCTGCAGGGACAGCACACGTTAGCAGTTCAAGACCTCTATTTGCAGCACTACTTCCCAGTGAATGTGGGCTATTCTGTTAAGGTCTGCCCTTCCAACTTCACACTTCTGCAATGTTTTTTTAAAAGAGATAGCCACCGGATGATAGAGAATAATTGCTCTCAACTACTACATATGGCTGGACAGAAGGCAAGAATTTGAAGGAGGTTTGGTTTAAAACATTAGAAATGCTTTCGAGCTGTAAAAGAATTGCTCACCAATGGAGAAAACTTTGCTTTGGAAACCTGTGAATGATTTTCCTTGGATGTTTAAGAGAAGATGAACTGAAATCGCTAATTATTTCTGGCAGCATTTAACCAGGATGGCATTTAGACTTGTCACTGGGGATGGTTGAGATCCTGAGCAAACTAAACCCAGTTCTGGACTCCAGAATGAGTTGGATCCCAACTTAAGCTGCTATAACATGGCTGGAGGAAGATGGGTTTTCTTCCCACCACGACCTACACAACACCCTACACAATTCCCACCAATGGTCAGGGAATGGTGCTGAATGGGGCAGGCTGTCCAATTTGCAGGGTTGCTGCCCTTCCACCTGAGCACCCTTTGCACAATAAATAAATATAATAATAATAAGTTATTACATATACCCTGCTCATCTGGCCAGGTCTCCCCAGCAACTCTGGGTGGCTCCCAACAGATTATTAAAAACACAGTAACACATGCTGGAAGACACAAGATTTGCCCACACTGGAAGAATGGCAAACGCAACTGATAGACTATATGGAGTTGGCTGAGATGACTGGCAGAATTCGAGACCTGGGAAAGGAGGAGGTGGAAGAGGACTGGAAGAAGTTTAAAGATTACCTACAAAGACTTTATAAATTGTTTGAATGTTAAGAAAGTGCATGAAAGGAAGGAACTTGGCATCAGCAGTCTAGATGAGAAATGTATGAGAATAAGTTGAACCATAAAGATGAGATTTGAACTAAGGTTATACCTAAACTAAGTAGTTAAGTATTTGATGGAAATATTTAAAGCTAAAGGTATAACATATTAGATTTAGAACATAAGATCTGAAATAAGGCAATAAATTGCGGAACATAACTTTTGTTCGGAGAACGCAGGAAAGGGAGACGTGAGGAAGTCCAGAAGATTTTGAAAAAATGTATGAAAGGTTGTGATTTGTTATTTCTTTTTTTTCTTTATATAATATCTGTGTTTGTTATATATTTGGTGAATTTTTCTTCTTAAAAAATTGCAATAAAATATTTAAAAACAAACAAACACAATAACACATGAAACATTAAAAACTTCCCTAAACAGGGCTGCCTTCATGTGTCTTCTAAAAGTCATCTAAAATGGCACAACGGTCCATGCCATTCAGCAGCTACTGCAACACTTCTTTGCTCCTGGCTTTTGACACCTGAGATGTATAATTCTTGGAACCAACCTTACTTCTGTGATTGCAAGTTGTTTTTAAACCACTTTTAAACATTGTAGGTTAAGTGTTTTAACCCGCCCTGTGCGCGGGCAGGAAATAAATTATAACTCCCTTTGGTGAAGCATGTGGGGGTGGAGTGGGGGTGTCATGAGGTGGAGGGGCAGGCATATAAACTGCTGCCCACTAAGAGAAGCTTAACTGGAAGTCATGCACCTGCCTTGCCTGGGTTGAAGCATCTTTCTGCTTGTGCAAGAAACTTTTGGATACAAGCCTACCGCTGTTAGCAAAGCAGGGTGCTGGCCTAAAGCTATTATTATTAAAAGCTGGTATTTGAAAAGCAGGATTCCGTTATAAGCAATAAAAGCTTCTGAACTTAAAAATAGCTGTTCTTCTTCAACTTGTACCTTTCTCAACACTGATAATTCAGATACACTAAAATGCACGGTCACACATGAGCTTAGCGACAGGGTTATAGAAGTGGTTTTGGTTATTAAGGAATAACTGATTTTTCATTTATTTATTTGGAGTCCCGCTGAAAATATGGCAGCCCAATCCTCCAGCACGTAAAGCCAACCATGTCCCAGAACCCTAATCCCCTAACCACCAGAAACCACCATTAGCTCCACTCCCACCCAACACCAAATTCTGAGGTTTGACCAGGCCACTATATTCAGCAGTACCAACTTTGCAACTTGATTCTGCGGCATCTGTCACAAAGGTTTAATGTTCCATAATCAGCATCTGCCTTTGTCTGATGTTGTAAATTAACATCGTATTTATGCTTGCTGCTGGCGGGCCACAAATTTTGGATCGACTTGACTGTCAGCTATTGTTACCGGTAGTTAATTAGGGTCAGGTTTCCTGTTTCCTGTTCAAAAGACTATATTCATCCAGTGCCCACTAATGGGGGGTGGGGTTGGGTTTAGAGGGAGGAGTTGTGGAGAGATGTGGGCACATTTGTTTGTAACAAACCCAAATCCATTATACTGATGCTGCATCTTGACCCATTTTGAAAGAGGCACTCTCTGCTTTCCCATGCTGCCACCATCTTTTAAAGAACCTTACCTCTACAGTGGCACCTTTTAGAGGCTTTCTCCACTGGCTGCCCATGTTAAACTTATGGATGCCATTGTCTAACGTATTGGTGGACCCCTGCATATAATGCTATTTATAAGCAGGAACTGCAACATCTTCATCTCCAGTACTGTGTATCCAAGTATTGGATTGTAAGAGCTAATTTTTGCAGTTGTGATTTTTCAAGTTGTATAGCCTTGCAACGTAAGGGGTACCTCGTGGGGGGGGGAGCTTGTTTTTCTACTTGTGCAGATTAAGGGCGTGGTTGTTGTGTTTTTGGTGAACAGTCAGACATCCTTAGTTAAAG